AGGCATGCTGTCAAGGGAGACCCCCACACTGAGTGGAGAGTTTTTGGCGGGACATGTCTGTCTTTTTGCTGTTTTGTCGTTGTTTTTGTTGGGGGGGACCCCAAATGAGTAAATGTTTCTTTTGGCTTCCTTGTTAAGACCCAAAAAACAGGGGGTACCAACTGAAAAGGAACCGGAGCCACAACCAATTGGAGTGAAATGGGGCTGGAAACTCTCTTGGAAAATGGACTGGCGCAGGGTTCGGCCACGCGCTATTCCACAGTATGCTTGCTTAAGCACACTTTGCCGCACCCTGCACCAAAGCCACTTTTGCCTGGCTTTTGAACTTGGCACTCTGCAACAGTAACGCCTCTTTGGTCTTCTTTCTGAACATGTCTGCGTTTGCTAGCCTCCCTTAAGCACAAGGGAAGCTGAGTCTGAGGGCTTGAAAGGCAGCTCCTTTGCAGGGTATGTCTGAGTCTCAATACTGTATGTTCTTGGCACCACTGGAATTGCCCCTGCCATTGTGTCCCCAGCGCTAGTCCGATGCTCCAAGTCAGCAAGGCGCTGACGCGAATGCTCAAACAAATTGTCAGGCTGTATGCCAAAAGAAATGCTCCAACAAACAAACCGGCGATTCAATGAGCACGGCTTCTGCTGGAGAAATTGGACCGAGTCCGATGCGGTGCCTATGCTTCAACTGACAGGCTGTTCCAGGAAAGGCAACCGCAGCTTGCCATATATACGAGCTTACACCCCGACTCTCTACGTGTCAGTGTCATCTGATGTTCCTTGCGGGTACATATCAAAACTCTTCATTGGGCAAAATCGGCTGTGACGATGCCTGTCTGCATGAGGAGATCAAAAGACAACAACAGGGGCCGTGGGGATGTCTCTAAATCTGTCCATCTGCAAAAACGAGAGGGGTTCTGCAAAAAATGAAATTACACCGTTTTGGGCAAGTGGATGCACAAAAGGTTGGGTCTGAAAATCAAAAAGCAAAAGGTTGGTGTCCTTAAGTTTCCCTAGGCGGTCTGAACAAAAGAATGAACTCCCCCGTCCCCTTTCGGTTTCCTTAAGCTTCCTTTTTGTTGCATCCACGCAAAAAGCTCGCCCGCTTTGGGGCCGCGGCTTGGCTGGGGAGTCTTTGTCCACCTGGCGTTGATTTGAAGGTCCGCCGTTTTCTGGCCGGAATTCAAAAAACACATGGAAACCACATGGAAACCACATGTGCGGCTGTTTAAACTCCTTGTATCCCGCAGTGGACACCGCCAATCTGGGACGCCCCCATCGCTTCCCGCATGTTTTTGTGTTTTTGATTTTCGGGGCATCGCTCTTACAGTCTCACATATTGTATGTTCTAATTGCAATGAACCCCAAACATCCAAGCCAGCAGGCTTCCAAACATACAAAATGCTGTCTTGAATTCCAAGCCGACCTTCGCTACTAAACTCAATTGCTTCCCCTTGGGGCTCTTCCACTAACACGACCAGTTTGCGCATCAATGCTGCTGGGCGCTGCTGCAATGTGCTGTTGCAGCGTGCTGCCGCAGGCCGAGACTTAGGTGCTGTTGCAATGCTGGTGCATGGTGCTGTTGCAGGCCGAGACTCACAGTTGCGCAGGGTGCTGTTGCAGGATGCTGCAGGCCGAGATCCAGAGTTGCGTAGGGGTGCTGTTGCAAAGCGCTGTTGCAGGGTTCTGCTGCAGGGTGGTAAACCAAAACCAAGGGCTTTCTAACAAAGGCGAGCGTTGTTCAGGATCCAAATGGCAACTGGGCAACTTGAAGACCTTTAGGCATCGCATCGGGCATCGTTTGGGCATCGCTTCAGCGCAACTTCTTTTTACATGCTATGATGGTGGTCTAGCTTCAAGCACAGCCATACGCCACCTGGCACATCTAGCAACCAACAGCTGTCAAGTGTTGATTTGGGTTTGTCGTTTTGTGATTGCAAAAATGGATAGTTTCTGCTTGGTTTTCCTCTGAACCTCCGTGATCAAGTAGCGCAAGCAATATTCAGTCTGTGTTTGTTGAGGCATGCAAGAGCAGGGCATCGCTTTGGGACGCCCCCATCGCTTCCCGCAGCTTTCTTCACTTTTGGAAAACCGATGTCCGCCGAGCACGTATTCTAGATAACGCGAGTTTGACGGTTGCTCACATGAAAACCTCTTGGAAACCACTCGGACAACCACCAAAGAAAGCCACCAAAGGAAGCCACCAAAGGAAGCAATTCGCGTAAGCCAAAGGAAACCCAACAATGGGGCTGTTGAACTAACAGGAACGCTATGGATTTCACTGAAGCTGAATTTGCCTACACCTGGTCCACGGGTGCAGGTTGGAACAATGGTGGGTACCCATCTTTGCTGCCTTGTGCTTTTCGATCCCCCCGTTTTGGTCGAACCCGCAAACCCACACAAAGAGGGATCAGTTTGGCGGCTGGGAAAAATAGTGGCCCAGGTGAACTGCATGGATAAGCGTGCGCTGCAATCAATTGGCTCAGTATCGCCTGCTTCAACCGTTTAAAGAATGGTACGCACTTGCCAACTGGAGCGTGTGCCTTGTCGGAACACACTTGGGGTGAATACTGTGGATGGACGACGAAAGAAACCCTGGATGATTCGATTCCCGTGTAAATACCAACAAACGTGTTGGTTTCAACCGTGGTGTCAAAGTGGTGCTGTGCCTGGACAGCAGTATGGCCATTATTTTTCGGCCGGAACCCGTATTTGGTTCGTTTTCCCGGTATGGTCATTTTTTGCTGGCCGGTGGCAGTATTTGGCCGTATGCAGCCCGTGTTTTGTCAACAAATTGTTGACAAAAAGCCGTAAATATGTTTTGTGGCCCAAGCCGTATGGACAGGGAAAAAAAAAGAGGAAACAAAAAGGAAAAAGGACAAAACGTCACATATGGGTATCGAGGTGGTCAGCCACCTTGGGTATAACCTGCTTATGAGTGAGTTCAGCCGGTAAGTAGGTTAAAACCATGGCTACTAACCGCTTACTAACTTGGCCGAACACCCAAGTAGGGATGGTTTATCCGTCTACTTTAAATCGATTCGAGGCCCGGCCAGGACCCACTGTCTGCGAAGAACCAGAACGTCTAGGAAGCTTTCCAGAAAAAGCAGTGAGAAGAAGCACTGAAAGGTACATGAACGAGCCATGACCTATTTGGCATCTGTCCAATTGATCATTTTGCTGCGAGAGAAGCAACTTTGAACCTACCATTGCAGGGTCCCCACTCCAATTTTGAGCACATTGCCAATCATCAATCAGTCGTATCTTGTGCCTTTCCCAGCATTCGCCACACAGGCCCCAAAATGGCGGGAGGGGGGGGTGTCAAACACTCAGTTCAAATGGGTGTGTCTTTTTTGAGAGACCCCTTTTCTTGGTAGTTTTAAAGGGAGACAGGACAACCAACGATAGAAAATACACACCAACTGGATCTTCGGGTCTTCGGATCGGTCGCCGACACGGCGAAAGACGCCACGTCGGCCTCAAGAAGCGGCGTTCGCGTGGCCCGAAGGCTAAAGTCAAGCAGCGCCCACCTCATGGCCCGGTCCAGTTCTCACGTCGTGTGAACCAGGGACTTCCTGCCAAGACCAAACACACCAAGCAACCAAGCGACCAAGCAATCAAGCGACCAAGCAACCAACCACAGATTGTGATTCAAATTGGTCAGCCCGAGTCAGGTACTGCTAAAACCAAACATATGTCGGGTCTTGCCGAAGTCCATGGCTGCACACACCGGAAAGAGAGCCGTAGCCCTGCGGCGCTGCGGCTGCATTCCTTCGTAGGGGAACAAAGGGTTGTAATCAGTTCCCCCTAATAAAAAATAAAAATAAATGCGGACCCCCCTAATAATAACTACTCTCTGGAGGACAACACATATTTATTGACAGGGCCCTTTGGGGTCAACCGGATTTCCTCTTCGGTCCTCGTCCAAATGGGCTCCCCCTTCCCGGACACAAAACACTATTCATTCAAATAGGGTCCATTTGTTAAAAGGGGGAGCGGATCATACAATATGATCTGTGCGGCAATGACTTATTGTGACACAAACTCCAACGCAATATCTCAACATGTGGCAACTCAGAGCTTAGATCAAAGCAGTGAGTGGAACCTCTCCTCAGACGTCGACATGACTCACACCCCTGCTGTGACTGGCCGTCCCCAAAACGTGTCTCCGAACCTTTGGCCTTCCGCCGCTTCGCGCACCTGCCCCCTTTCGTCCTTCCAGGCTCAAAGGGGGGGTGAATGCAATCGCAGAGTTGGCACCTGCCGTGTACGGGAGGCAAACGCCCGCAAGGGAATTTCCTTTTTGGCAGAGCAAGCCCCGAAGCCAAAGATCGACCACATCCATCAAGGAAACTGAAAACACTAGACAATTCTTTGACGCTGTGTTGAATCTGGTAAAAAGATGTGAGCCTCGGCTCTTGTTCTTCCCTCCTTCTAATTTGATTTCTTGCCAGCCCCGTCCTCCGCATCCTAAAACGATTGCCCTCTTGGCGCCCTGCTCCCCATCCAGCGCCGGATGGAAGCTTACCGCGCCTCGGCTGATTTTGGACGGCTCCTTCATCCCCAGAGCTTCCTCGGCCCGAGTAACTTAGGCCTTTTGTCAACGGCCGTAGACACCCCGTAAAAAGGCCGTAAGAAGCCCGTAAAAAGGCCGTAAACACCCCGTAAAAAGGCCGTAAAAAAAAAAAAAAAAAAAAAAAAAAAAAACTCCGTGTTTAAACGGCCTCCGTAACTCAGGCCTTTGGACTTTGGACTCCCTGGGATCCCGAAGCGGTTGCCATGGATGCACATTGCATCCCTGCAGAACACGGACCCAAAAAACAACTTTGTAGAAGAACCCTCAAATGCCATAGCTGTAATATCACCATGTTGATGGCAAGTACTGGTTCATCATCTGTCTTTTTTATGGCTGGCTAATATCATGGGGCGGTTTGCAAATTTCTGCAGGACTGACAATTGAGCACACGAAACCTGGAACAAGATCTGCAACCACATGGAAGCCATTCAAGTTATAGGCCAACGTGTCGGTCTTTGAAGAGGTTGCTAGGCCACGGGGGAAGGGACAACCTGAATGGCACCTGCCCGATCGGATATGACCGCACCCCTTTGGTGTCGTGGAGGTATTTGAGTCCTTGATAAAGGATCCGCAATCTTGAAGCCAGCAAAAGACGCAAAACGCTGAACTGCTGGACCACTGATATGAAATACTTGCCTTCCTCTGAAAGGGTGGTCAAGTGAATAAAGAAACGACGCAAATCACACCGTCTTCTGCAAGCTCGCAACCTAACCAAAATACCCCCTAAGCCAATCAAAAGAAGTGGGCGAGCATTGGCATTCTGACTAGGAACATGGGGAGGAGGGGGTGCTGCCCACGCTGAGCATACTGCGACTCCTTTTTCTTCCCCGTCGGGATGCTCCTGTATCGCGCACGGCACTGGGCCTTGATGGATCTTGGCCAGCTCCTGTCGGAATGGCTTCAGGTTGCCAGTGCCCATGGGGTCCTCAGTTGTTCAGGGACCCTGAAAAAAAAGGGAACCCTTTTGGGGAAGACCATTTTTAGTGGGGCAGTCACCCAAAAAAAGGTTGGAAAAGAAAAAGGGTGCCACTGAACAACTCAGGATCTATGATGGCAAAAACGACTGTGGCAAAGGCGCCCCGGAACTCCGGAGACATCAGCTGCTCGCGGAAGATGGCCGCCACATGCCCGGCGGGATTGCCAAAAGCCCCGCATCCAAAGGCGCCCAGCACGACGTTGGCGTGGCCAGTGTGCTTGGCGGCATGCAGCACCGAGCGGATGCGCAGGGTGACGGTGTCTGCCCACTCAGATCCGGCCCAGCCGCTCTTGGGCCGGCGAGCTCCGCAGGGCATCGCAGCGGACAGAATTGTGACAAGGCCAAGAGAAGCGCAGGTCGCGTAGGTCCCAGGCTGGCGCACTGCCAGCAGATTCTGCGCAACCAGACTTGTACCAGGGGGAATTGGATATGAGCATGAGGCCAATGCGGGATAGAGCTGAGGCAGTAGCCGACACAGATCCTCCTCCTGGGCCAAGCCACCACTACGGTAGCGGCCTCCTGGGGTGTCGGCGTTGGCGAAATTCAAGGCGCAGGCGTCTCCCAGCATCAAGGCCGCCGACACGGTGTCGATGTTGGCACAGCATATCTCCGTCACTTCGAAGCGCAAAGCAGGCGCTTCCAAGGTCTCCGGACACTGAACGGCTTCAACCACTGGGACTGGGATGGCCTGCCACTCATCGGCGGCAAAAAAGCCCCCTCGCGCGACTATGGCGTCATTGGCCTCCACAATGCCGCGGACCTCCCCGCGGCCCACGGGCCAAGCCCGGAAACGAGATTCCAACTGCCGGCACAGCTCCGTGGACAAGCGGAAGCGGTGCATGGCGCATCTCAAAGCCCCATCCGAAAGGGCGCGGCCCCTTGAGGCGTGCTCCTCACCTCCGACACCATGGACTTGCGGAAAAGACAACTCACGCACATGCATGTACATACATACATATCTCCAAGTAGCATGTTGTATGTACCCATATCTCTCTATATATACACATGCTGGGTATTTACAGGACTCTGCCGATGCCAAATGCGCATACGACGGTCGACCAGGGTTCCATTTTGGGTACCTATTTTTGACCCACAGCCAAATAGCACATTCCAGCATACCTGTGATGGCATGGGTTTGCGCATGATACTCGTAACACACGTGCCCAGTCCGAGGCTCCTGCGCAGCACGTCGGTGTGGGCTAGGAATGTTGGCCTGGCTGGAAAACAGAGCTGAAAGCAACGCAGCTGTCCAGCCGGGTCAGTCTTCTGAATTCTGCCTTTTGCCAGAATGGTTTTTTGAGGGTACCCTTTCTTAGGGTGGGTTTAAAAGGAAGCCAAAAGAAAGAAACAACACCATTTTGGGGGTCCCTGTATTTTAACACATACTGCTGCGGAAGATCACTGCGTCTATAGCCTTGCCACCCGAAGCCAGAAGCTGGCAAAAAAAAACGATGCAGATTGACAGTCCGTGGTGAACAACAAGGTTGTTCTATGTCTTTGCTACAGAACAGTTAAACAACAAATAGCTTTTTTGTTTTTAAGAGCAATCAACTTCTTCAGGCGCAGCTCAGAAGGTGAACCTCCTTTCATGAAGACACGGCACTGCCTGGTTGTTGTCACAATCTAGCCTGTACGAAATATCCGCTGGGTCCTAATCGCAATCCGTAATCTTTTTCAACCCTTGTTCTGGTTGGTAGTCTTTTTAATCCGTAATCCCCGCTGCAAAGTGCGAAACCCGTAAGGCGTAAAGTCCAATCCGGCCGTAAACCGCATAGTCCGCAACAAGATAGACAGTCTAATAGCATGTTTGTATAACTCTGTAACCAAATCGCTAGCAGCAAATCACAACTTTCCTGAATCAAGATAAGCGCAGCTTGCGCTGAGCAACTATTGCGGATGCTGCCATGAACAATCCTGCCGACAAGTTACTTCTAAGTTCAAGGTGCCTGCCGCATGCACTGGACATATCTTCAACGTTGCGAAAAAAAAAACGTGCAAGAGCAACCAGTCAAAGAGCCGCAACCGGCTTGAAAGTCGGTTCAGCAGATGACAATAAACATGTGTTCAGCACTAGGACCTCTCCTCATGAGAAGTAACTCCAAACCACACCGAAGCGGCGGCCAGGCTTGCCGGCTTCCCGCTCGCTCAAACAGGCCAAGGGCCACGGCAGTGTCTCGCATAGCTTGCAGGGCCCATCTTTGGCATCCTGAAGCCGCGGGCTACCACCGGGCCAAAAACATACGCGACATAAATTCCATTTATCTAGTCTTCCCTATAAGAGGGAAAATGGAACCACAAATGGAGATCCAGGCTCCCCTCCCCAATTCCATTTTGAAAGGGGTGGGGATTACGCGACTGCATGTTAATCTGATATGAACCACTGCCTTCATAGTACACTTGCCCCCCTGGCAACCCGCTGCTAACCCGCTGGTAAGGCTGACCCGAAAACACAAGAGCAAGGACCGACCATTGCAACAAGAGTGATGCAACACCCAACCGGGCGATGCATGAAGGGGCTGTGAATGAAACTTTAGGATTCGTCGGAAGTTGCAAACAGCACTGAGAGAGTTCAGAGCTTCAGCTGGAACGCCTTTTTGCTCCTCCCCTGGAACACAGGTGAGGTGTAGAGTGTTGCTACGCACTTGCAGCATTAAAAAGCGCAACCAACGCCAATCTGGTCATGGGGACCGAGGGACGCGACCTGAACAAATAAGCACAGGCAGACTGCTTTCAGGGAAATCTGTGCAAGACACACTCATGAGCATGGACACAACTCCGAACTCTATAATTGGCTCCTTCTCTCTGTTGCCCAGTGGTGCCTTTTTTTCTCCTTTTTTTGGGTAAGCATTCCCCTTTAAACTCAACAACCAAAAAAAGGTGCCCTTTTTTGCCCATGGCCACTGGGCATCTGAGTTCTTGCAAGGTCTCGAGCCCTCAGCAAGTAGCTCCTCAAAACAGCTCCGACTTTTCCAGTTTTAGACCAGCGATTCAGCAAAAGAGAAGCGATGCATTGGAGTTGACAACCCTTTGGGTATGTTCGATTGTTGGCAATCCATTTCGGTCTGACTGTCCGGTTGAGACACCTCAAATGTGAAGCTGCAGCCAAGAATCTGCTTCTTCCTCGTGGAACCAGCTGCCCCTAGCGCATGCAGCTGGAGGTCCAGTCGTTTTACCGAATGGTCGCTACTGTGTCATTTCCCCCTAATGGGTGGTTTGTATTGGTGGTTTGGATTTGAACCCCTGGTTGTTGTTAAGGTAAATGGGAAGCCATCCCTTAACCACCAAACCACCCCAATCCAATCCACCAATTTTGAGGGACGTTGACTGTTGGCCCAGTTGCGGGTGAAAAAAACAAGCTGTGTTGCAAGACGCGACTGCAGACACAATCCAACAGCGGGTGCCGATTCTATCCCCGCTTCTCCCTGTTTGTGCACAAGACCTGCCAATTAAGCGCGGCAAGCACATGATACCCCTCGTGCGTACATACTGCCAGCGTTGCAACGGAGGATGCATAAATCCAGGCATCCCGATAGAACTCTGGCGTAGACGAACGAATGCATGGGGCAACCTCGGGTAACCAATCCCGTCCACCAAATTAGTATCCTCCAATGGACCCAGGGTCCAAAGGTTAACCCCCGGGGAGGCCACGAAAGACTTTCGCGCTGCTCATGAACATCAAACTGCTCATGAAACTGAGCCGGCAACCGCATTCGGAGGGTCTTAAACTTTTGCGGTCAACTAGGGGTGCTTGGAAATTGACTTGGGGGGCTGTAGATCTCAGTTTTTAGAGCTATTAGATTTGGGGGGTGGGGTGGAGGCCTGTTTAAACTTGTACAGGGATGCAGCACTCTCACTCCAAAGGTTGGATAAAGCAACCTCCAAGCGTGGCCTGCTAGACCGAATACATGGAGTAGTTCACAGGAAACATCTCCCTCAAGCAAACACCCACAAACACAGACACACGCTGCGGGGCTCCTTGCTGATTTCTTGATGGACTTCAGGCATTCTCTTTGCGCTCCACTTCAGATTCTGGCTTTCGTTTGCCAGGTGTACAGTACTGAGAAATCCGGCGTTTATCCTTCAAGTGTTGGCCAGATTGCCTGCTTGACAGGCTTCTGCGGAGTAAGTCCAGCTCCTGGTACATGTATGCATATATTCATATGTACCAGATCATATCCCCAAGGGTATTCTGCGATATACATTCCGCATCTGAAACCCAAAAAAACAGAAGCTGAACCGCCACTAAATGTCAAAGCAGTTCGAGGATAGGATCCAACAACGTTGCTGCAACTCGGACAGTTGGTTTAAGCCGGGCACTTTTGGCCCAAGTTTTTTGGAGCCCTTGAGCCGGAGGAACCAAACGCCAGCCTTGCCTGATAGAAGATGCAGAAGCTTCATCGAAAATTATGCCTTGGGTAGAGGCGGTCCTCTGTTTCGCAAAACAAGTGTGCAGTTCTTCGAAACCCAGCGACCCTGACCAAAGGGTCAAAGATCCTTCTCGTTTCTATCAAATGGACCAGAACCCGAAATTTGGACCCCACCTCAAATAGCAGCCTTGCTTTGCCCTGTTGCTAACTACCACCATTTGAACGAGATTACCATCGGTGCCAGGAACAAGGTCCTAGTCCGTCAATAGGAACATGCTCATCGGTGGTGGAAAAAAACATGCTCATCTAATCCAAGGAGCTGGCATTCAAAACATGACCTCCAACTGTCCCATGACTTTATCACATCGGAAGAGTATGACCCCTCAGCCGCAGGTTCTTTTGTTTCAGGGAAAAAGGACACCCTTCGCGGACCCCATGAGTTTTGTTCTTTGGGTTGCCAATCCACAAAGCTCCATGAAAAAGGTTCGCTGACAGATTTGTGTGCTCTCCGCACTGGTTTGAACATTACGCCAAACCCGAACTCTATGGAACACTCTGGATGCAAACTCTGGGGGGCACCTGTTCTTCCAAGCCTGCTCGCTTTTCAGGCTCCAAAACTTGCGCCGTCGTTACAGGCTCAGCTGCTTTTGCACCCGGCCGCTGTCGCCGCCACAGTCGGGATGACCCCAGGTCACAACCGACCCTGATTCAAGAATGGCAGCAAAAGCACCGTCAGTTGCTTGGATGTGCTGGATGTTCCTCAGCTGATCTTGCACCTGGCTGCTGTCTCCGCCACATCGTGGATCACCCCAGGTCACAACAGCCCCAGATTCAAGAATGGCAGCAAAAGCACTGTCAGTTGCTTGGATGTGCTGGACGTTCCTCAGCTGCTCTTGAACCTGGTTGCTGTCTCCGCCAAAGGTTCCAGCACCCCAGGTAACAACAGCCCCAGATTCAAGAATGGCAGCAAAAGCACGGCTAGTCGCTTGGATGTGCAGGACGTTCCTCAGCTGCTCCTGCACCTGGCTGCTGTCTCCGCCAAAGGTTCCAGCACCCCAGGTAACAACAGCCCCAGATTCAAGAATGGCAGCAAAAGCACCGGCAGTTGCTTGGATGTGTTGAACATTCCTGAGCTGCTCTTGCACCCGGCTGCTGTTACCGCCATGGACGGGATTGCCCCAGGTCACAACAGTGCCAGATTCCAGAATGGCAGCAAAAGCACCACCGTCAGTTGCTTGGATGTGCTGAACATTGCTCAGCTGCTGCTGCACCTGGCTGCTGTCTCCGCCATAATCTGGATCACCCCAGGTCACAACAGCCCCAGATTCAACAATGGCAGCGAAAGCACAATTGGCAGTTGCTTGGATGTGCTGGACGTTCCTCAGCTGCTCTTGCACCTGGCTGCTGTCTCCGCCACCACTTAGAAAACCCCAGGTCACAACAGACCCAGATTCAAGAATCGCAGCAAAAGATCTACCCGTTGCTTGGATGTGCTGGACGTTCTTCAGCTGGTCTTGCGCCTGGCTGCTATCTCCGCCGCGTTGCG